CAAAACACATGAGTCACATTGTAAAACAGAGTTTTTAACTAAATCAGGAAAAAGAAACTTTAAATAACTATCAGAGGGATGCCCTAACTGCCTATGCCAAATCCAAAGTCTCCGATCAACGGATCCATGAGTGAGTAATACGATACCAGTTTGTCCAATATCTTCCACACAATACAGTCCATGTCGTTCAGTGCCACGCCCAATAATCGCCTTCGTCCTGATATCCTGAAGTAGACAAAAGAAAGGGTTAATCAGTAGGGTGCAATTAAGTTCTTGAGTGACATGGCTAATGGATAATAGTTTTTGTGACAAAGACGGTACAAATAAGCAGTTTGAAAGGCTTAGAGTAGGGGAAATTCGAATAGTGTCTGATCCCTTTACCGGAAGAAGGTCCCCCCCAGCTGTTTGGACAAAAATTTTATTTGGTTTTGATAGGGATATAAAATCAGATTTGTCAAAGGACATGGTATCGGTTGCTCCACAGTCAAATATCCATGTGTGTGAGAGGCTATTTTTTCTGGTGGGATAATTTGATAGTATATAAGCAAGTGAGGGGTTAGTTTTTAAAAAGGAATTATGATTTGGGGTCGAAACAAAATTATATAGTAAAGGGTTGGGGTTTAAAACCGAATTAAATGAATCATGAGGACCACAATTGGAATGCCATTGTTTATAAAGAAATCTAGGGTTTGGCCTTTGGCCAAACCCAGTACCTCTCGTCGATTCCCCATGATTCGTCGTCTCTGAGCCTTCCCCCTCCCTGCACCGGTATTGTCCGCCGGTCACCATCCCTCCAAATCCACCGACGGTGGTCGTTTCTTGCGTGTTTGCCGTGGAGGAATCGAGTGGAGTTTGCCCCGATTTCTCCTGGGCTGCAACACCGACTGCAACGCCGCCCTTCCCAGAGGTCCGATGACCTTCTCCCCACCATTCTGGGTAGCCCACTAGCTTGAAGCACTCCTCCTTGGTGTGCTTCCGCATCCCGCAGTGTGTGCACACCAATTTCGACCGATCCAATTTCTCTTTAGTCGTCGATTTCCTCTGTCCCTTCGCTCCGAATCCGGCGCCGACCTGGGTGATTTCCGGTCCTTGGCTTGGGTCGGACTGCCGACTGTGGAGGCGGCCGGTTTCAAGCCGGACTCTGGAGAATGCCGCCTCGGCTGATGGTAGAGGAGTCTCCTTGAGGATATCTCGACGGACTCCGTCGAGTGTGCCATCGAGGCTGGACAAAAACTAGAACAATCGCCTCTGCTCTACGATTTTCAGGTAAATTTACAGACCCTCTTCACACCCTGCAAAGGGATTTGTATCTCTCTGATCAATTTCGAGCCATACATTGGTGATATCTGACCAATAAACCTCGATTGATCTAGCCCCCTGTTTTATGGTGTTGGCTCGTACTTCAAGTTCGTAACTTTGCAACGGATCGATGGTGGTTCCATATGTGATTGCCAAACTATCCCAGATAGCTTTGGCGGTCTGATGTTTGGACAGCCGGGTCATAAGTCGGGTTTCCATCGTTTGGAGGAGCCATGACATCACAATCAGATCGGCCTCTCTCCACTGCTTATACTTTTGTTCGCCTTTTTTGGAAGAGAGGGGTCGCCGATGATGTGGTGGATCCTCCCTCTGCCTTCGAGGATGAACTCCATTAGTCTGGACCAAACTGGATAGTTACAAACTGGATAGTTGTATTCATCCAGTTTCAGTCCAAGGTTGATACTTTCTGGGACCTTTTCCTTTTCTTCTGTCATCTTCTTGAGTTAAGGATTCTGAACTTTGCCTTGGTCTGGTTATGGGTCGA